CAGGCAGTATTATATATAACTCAACATTCTCTGGTCAGTGACAGCAATATCCATTTATTTATACAATTACATGCTGACATTCCCCCCCCCCAAAAAAATAGACATACATTTTAAAATATAAAACTAAAAATTAGTAGTAAAGTTATATGCTAAAATCTTTACATCTCTATTTTTACTAAAAAAAAAAAATCTTTCAACACAAATATTTTTTTTCCAAATCGATCAGTACTTCAAATCAAATAAATTCTAAATAAAGCTTTAAATATACGGAGACTTAAGTTCCATGATAAAATCCACTTTTTAAACTTTGTTCACTGGTCCAATGGCTGGAATTTTCATGTTGTTCAGCTGCTTGGTCTGGAGCTTTGCTATTTGTTGTAAACACTATAAAACATGGATTACATATATAGGGAAGAAATGAATTGCATTGTAAAGTTTTTATTTGTTTTTAATAATTTTGATGCGGAGGTTCCCTGAGACCTAAAAATAATTTCAAGAACTCCTCTGGGATAGGCTGCTCTAAAATATGCTGGAATGTAATGTTTTTCTTAAAACTATAACAAATGTATAATTCATACATTAATTGCTTCATGCATCAGGAGTTGTGTCCAAAGTATTGTGCCTAGTTGGCATGATGGTAATTTCTGGTTATTTTTCATTTCTTCTGTAGCAGTACAATAGTTTATAGCAGTGGTGGGATTCAATTAGTTTTAGCACTGGTTTGGTGGGCGTGGCTTGGTGGGTGCACTTTGCACGCCCAACAGCAGAGCGGTGGAGAGAACCAGTTCATCTCCGCTGCTCATCGCTGCTACCGGCTCTCCAGAACTGGTAAAATACCACCACTGGTTTATAGGTAGTCTATGAGTTATAACCATTCATTCAGTAATGATTCAAAAGCACAGCGGCATGAAAAAAGGGACGACCTCTTTTCACAAAACCACTGTAGCATCCCCATGGTCATGTGATCAAAATTCAAGCTCTTGGCAACTGGCATGTATTTCTGACTGTTTCACTGTCCTAGGGTCACCAACCTTTTGACAAGCAGTCAATTGGGGGAAGCCAGATTTGCGTAACGATCCATTTAACCATTGCAGTGATTTGCTTCGCAACATTTGGCAAAAAGGTTGCAAAATGAGGCACGGCTCACTTAACAACTGCCTTCTTCAGCAACAGAGACTTTGGGCTGAATTGTGGACGTAGGTCATGAACTACCTGCATTAGGTGATTTTCTGCCTTCTGCACAGAGGTGGATTTTAAGCTGTACAGATGCAGATAGATAACTCAACAAGACGTCCATAACAAATTACATTTATTGGTTCATCAGGTATAACTCACATTTGTGACGAAGTTCTTCTTTAATGACCAATCCTTTGTATATCTGCCTTGTAGTAAAAGATGGTTATCTCCTAACCCATCTCGTAGCGATAGAAAGAAGCTGCCATGAGTTAGAGAGTTCAGACAAAGAATGAGGAAAACTCTCCCAACCCATCGAGGGTCAAAGTAATGACCAATCAGGATTACAGGTGTGGTCACGTGACATGGACTACATTTTCCATGGTTCCCTTGAACTACATTTGCCAAGATGCATTTCCTTAAGGGGACAGCTCATAATTCCTAAGTAACTATCCAATTCCCATAGACTGGTTGGGACAGCACATGTGATGTGAAGAGAAGGCAATTACGCATGGATCTAATGCTTGGGAAGTCCCATCATATAAGTCCAAGAAGGTCTTACCTCATAGCTTGGTAGGAGTGCAATAATTAAATTTAAGTCCTAATCCCCCCCCCTCTTTTCTCACACTTACCCAAATAATTTTTAAAAATTATGAAAGGAATCTTTATCTTTTAAATAAGATGGGGAGAGGCAAAGGAAATAACTTCCTTATTTACCTAATCTCCTATTCAAACACAGATCTTTATCACAATAGCCTCACATATTCAATATGCATCATGACTTTATTCCAATCACCCATCTAGTATCCAAATAGGGATCCCCTAGCAGAATGTTACATTACTTTTAACTACCTTTAATTCTGGGCAAACTATAGTGACAAATTAAGCCAGCTTTAAGAACTATAAAAATACCAGCTCTATACCCATGCTTCACTACAAAACTATGTGGTCAGGCTTAGTTTCTGGGGAGGAAAATAAGGGGGAAAAAAATCTGCCTCTGCCTAACAGCTCCCATCGGTGTTCATCTGGCTAGCTTCCTGTCAGTGTATGAGAGAGTTAAAGGCTGTTTGGAAACTAAAAGAGTATTTGCTGTGTGAGCAAGAAGGAGACAGCAAGGAGCCTGGGTGTGGCTTAGCTCAACTGTTCTGTACTAAAGCTGGTTGCTGCTGTGGAAGTAAAACCGAAACTGAAACTCCTCTGCATTTGGAACAGATTTCTTTTCAGCTGGGGAGGGGGAATAGAACGCCTTAGCATCAGAGCATGTTAATAATAGTATAGGATATACTAATGCTCTGATGGTCATTTTGAAAAATCCTTTCTTAGTGAGCACCTAGAAGCCAAGAGGAACATACGTGCCAAATTTCAAGTTTGTAGGCTTTACGGTTCTGGAGATTTTGTGATGATGCGTGACCAGTATTTCGCTTTTATATAGAGAGATTCAAAAGGTTTTTTAAAAGGTTTAAGTTCTACTGGCATCTAAAAACTAGTTGGCTTAAAAACGCACATTCTTGAAAATCATAACGAATCAAAGATTTCTGAAGAAAAGAAACTGAAACCTGACAGCATGATTATACATATTATTTAGTAACTTAAATTCAATTGGATTTATTCCCAAGAAAATAAGTATTGGACTTTTCTAACAGTCAACATTGGTGAGAGACAGTAGAGTAGTTTGAAAGACACACAGAGAGAGATTCCAGTTCTGCATCTTATTCAAAGTTACGTTGACTGAATTTTATTAATGTCATTATAATCATTTCCTGCAAAGTATTTGGCAGCACCAAAAGATGAGATAATTCATCTCTTACAATCTTTATTTATAATTCTGGACACGGTATAAACTTGAATCAAGCAAATATTTAGAATCCTGGTAAAACAAGGAGGAATCGATTTTCAATTTTTCCTCAGGGTATGCAATCCTACCTTGTTCTAATTCTGGCGTTCCAAATTAGGAGGTCCAGTCCTATTCAAATTATCAGAAGCCCTCATGCCCTTAATGAATCTAATCCAGCTGCAATATCGATTCTCAGTTTCATGTGCTTCTTTTGGGAAATACCAAATTATTTAACAGGAATAAAAAGAGATTGCAAGGAGCATCCTATTTCCATTATACCAGACTTACTACATATTTAGGTTAGACATTTATACATGGTTAGTGGGAAATAAGCTCCATTGAAGTTAATTGCTTTATTGGAGCAGGCCTATATAGATAGGACAATATCATTCACTTTAAAGAAATATAATAAAGTCAGAATTTAAACATTTACCATTTCAAAAAGGTGGTCTACCTTTATTTCCATCTCCTTCACAAAAATGCTCCTTAGCTAAAAGTAGAGGTAGCCAGTAGTCATTTTAAAAGCTAATACAAGGCACAATACATACGAAATCAAGAGGACCAAGATAGTACATATCAATCACATCAGGATGCCAACAGATTCTAAGCAATCAGCTGTTAAAAAAAACTAATATGGTCGAAGGAGAAGTGGAAATATTTTAGACTTGTTTGTAGAGATTTGACTGAACGGGCTTGCTTATTTGTTCCCTTTGTTTTGCAGATGTATTTTTACTGAATTAACTTTTTATGTTTTGCTTGAGCTTATATTTTGCAGTTGTTAGCATTCATAAGCACTATTTGCTACCCTATGAACAAATCTAGGCTAGACTGATCCAAGGAAAAAGATATTCCCGAAATCAACTACTGGCAACATCATATGCGTAAATATGTGTACTTTTAGTCAAGGTTTTGCATGGACATGCTGTTTCATGAAGGATCCAAATGATGTCCTACCGTATGTTCATAAATCTGTCATCCTTCTTCAGCATCCACACTCTCTAGTCTCTGCAGCCTCATTCTAACTGAGTCAAGATTGCAACTCCCAGAATTCCCTTTGGCCATTTTGACCGAGAATCTTGGAAGTTGCAGGCCAAGTCACACAGATACGACTCCTCCAGGTCGGGGAAGGGCAAGAGGGCTCTTACCTCTTTGAAAGGCCTCCCACCTTTATTCATATTTTGTTTTTCCCTTCTGAAAAGAAAACAAAAAAACGAAAAACACCCAAGGCTACTGTATCCACTCCATTCCTGAGATTTGGTAAACGGAAGGCAGCACTATTCTAACTTCAAGCCTCAGCTGTAAACGCCCTCTATGTTCCAGGTAGTCCTCGACTTACAACAGTTCATTTAGTGACCGTTTAAAGTTACAAAGGCACTGGAGGGAGAGTGGGGGGAAAAGTGGCTTATGATCATTTTTTTCACACTTATGACCCTTTGTAGCATCTTGATCAAAATCCCGGACACTTGGCAACGGACTCATATTTACGACGGTTGCAGTGTCCCAGGGGTCAGGCCATTCCCTTTTTCCCAAGTCCATGGGGAAACCTCGAGCACAGCCACCGGTATTACTCATTCAACAGCCTGCCGCGATTCGCTTAACAACCGGGGGGGGGGCAGAAACGTCCTTAAACGGACCAAAACTCAACGGAGGGAGTTTTCCACAGAAATGGTTGGGCTGCGTGGAGGTCGTAAGTCGGGGACTCCCTGTACGTGGTCATATAACCTTAGGATGACGGCGGCTGGGGCGGGGAGGGGGCATCGTGAGACAGCCAAACGGGTTCTTCCTACCGTCCCCGCATTAAAAAACCAAACCAGATCCTGATTCAGGGAGACGTAAAACGAAACCTGCCTGGAGGACGCTGGGTATAAAGGAGGGGGATATAAAGGAGACGAGAGAACCGGCAGCCATCCCGGCATCTCCTCCCCTCGCACCCCGTCTTTCCCCACTCTGGCCGGCAGCCGCGACTCGCTTTAGCGGCCGGGTCCCGCCTTACCGGCTTCGTGCTCGCCGGGGTTGTCCGAGATCTCGATGACCAGCAACTCCCTGCCCTCGAAGCTCCGTCCCACCGTGTAGATCCGGCTGATGGACGGACACTGCAGCCAGACCGAGACCAGCGCTTCCCGAAGCTCCGGGTAGCGGTGATACTCGAAGGAGATGCCGTCCTCCTGACTCAGGCGGCGACGTCTGCTCGCTCCTCCGCCCAGAGCCGCCGCCGCCGTCGCCGCTGCGGGTTCGTCCGCTTCGGTCTCTTGCAAGCACAAGCCGGCCGGGAAGGCGCAGAGCGCCAACGCCAGCAGCGGCCAAAGCCGACCTCGCCCGGCCATGTCTCCGCTGCAACCTCGGGGGAGAAACGGAGGTCGGAAAAGAGGACCGGCGCCTCCTCTCTCTCCTCTCCGCCGGTCTCCGTCGGCCGCCACTGCAAAGCTCAACCGGGGCGCGCCGCTCTCGCTTAAACCTGCTCCATTCTCGGGGAAGCTTAAACCCCCCCGCAGACCGTACTACTCGGGATTGGGGGTGGGGGGTGGGGGGGAAGAAGACGGCAGGAATGTACCACTATTCCACGTCCAGGGGGGCGGGGGCGGGCGGCTGGGTGACGTTTCTTGCCACGCGGAGTCGGAGCGAGGAGGCGCGTGCCGCTCAAAACCTCGCAGCATCCTTTGGGCGAGGTTGCCTCGGCAAGGCTTGAACCGCCCCGCCCGCCCCCTCAGTCCGGAGGCGTCATCTCTTTCCCGTGCCGGGGATGTTTGCCTCCGGAGTGGGGGGGGGGGGAAACAACACAACAACATATGATCAGGGAATGGAGGCTTGTTGAACCTTTTGGAAGGAATCCCCCCCCCAAAAAAAAAACGCTTGCAAATGTGGATAGCGGGGACTGGGCATCTTATCCACGCCCAGGATGGCTCTTGTCTTCCCCAAACCCTAACCAGAGTTATCACATAGCTCGGTTATTTGCACCTACACAAAAGGCCTAGTGATTTATTTTACATGGAGGG